CTCCAGACTTGGAAGACCAATTGTTGGAGGAGTTTAATTTCATCAGAGTGAAGTTCTTGCTCCTTAATACCACTCCTCTCATCCAGCCCATGGACCAGCAGGTCATTTCGAACTTCAAAAAACTCTACACCAAAGCAGTGTTTCAAAGGTGCTTTGAAGTGACTTCGGACACTGAATTGACTCTAAGAGAGTTCTGGAGGAATCAGATAAGGCTTGGCAGGTAGTGACTTCCAGGATGATGAACTCTGCATGGAGAAAACTGTGGCCAGAATGTCCAAGAGAAGGATTTTGAAGGGTTTGAGGCTGACCCTGACAACCCTACGTCTGTTGTGGAATCTCTTGTGGCTTTGGGGAAGTCCATGGGGTTGGATATGAATGGCCAGGATGTGAAAGAGTTGGTGGACGACAACAGGGAAGAGCTAACCACTGAAGACCTGCAACACCTTCAACTGGAACAGCAACAGATCGCAGCTGAGGAAATTGCTTCAGAGGAGAGGAAGAGAGAGAGAGAGGACAATGTGATTCTTCAGCGGTTAAGAACATTTGTGCAAAGTGAAGTGAGATGCAAAGTTTTGTGGTGAAATATCACCCTAACAAAGCCAGAAACAGATCTCTCTGTAGAGATTTTTTGTGCGACAGGGGTCCAGTGACTCTCCAGCTGGTCCTTGGGCCAGTAAAAGACAAAGAAGAGAAGTAACCCCAGATAGGGACTTGATACCTGAAGTCCTTATGGAAAGGGATTCCCCTTCCAAACAAAAAACTCTCCTCCATCTCCCCTCCTCTCCGTCTTCCATACATCAACAAGAGTCTTCAATAAAGGTAAAAGTGATTTAAATGTTCATTTATCTATTTCATTAGTGCTTTATATATATTTCTCATTGTTTTCTGTATGTAAAACTAGTTATTCTCTATAAAATGTATTTTTTGTTAATATTTTTGGGTGTCTGGAACGGATTAATTTGATTTACATTAATTCTTATGGGAAATCTTGCTTAAGTTTTCGTCG